TCGTAGAGCTTCTCATAGAAATGTAAAAATGTATTGCCCGCTTCTTACAATCTGGCCTGAACCTTTGGGTAGGCTTTGTAGGATCAACAATAATACTTGCACGGAGTATGGTAGAATTCCTCGGTATGATCATTTAGGAAGTCCACACTTTTGGACTAAGACCAATCGGATGGTTCAGAAATACATTTTCAGAAATCACACTCTTTTGATCTTAATAAAATCATATAACCTAAAGTTTAACATCTTCTAACACATTGTATTCAGAATAACAATCCAACATTTACTGTATATACATAATAATAGCCAAATCATAAAAATTTCTTAAAAATTTGTTTTGCTCATAACTTCTCCTATAAAGTCTTATCTAAATATTTTTTGAAATAAATTATCAGTTTTTCATGTTAAAAAACTCCATAATCAACACTAAAACCTTAAGCATCATTAGAGCTTTACTATTTAAAACAAGAATATTGGAGATAAGGTTTAAAACAGGTTTTTCATTCCTAAAATTTCATTCTCAATACCGAGGTTTTAAGAAACATCAAGGTTCTATGAATTAAAATAGGAATAATGGGGATTTTTAAACCAAAACACATAATAGGAGTTAGAGTTTCGGATCAACTCCCCTTACTTAGAAATAGGTCGTAAGATCGCGTTCTTTGTGAGATCCAAAAGAGAGAGATACAACATTTCTTATGGAAAATATTTTTCAAAAGACCAAGATCTCGTTAGAATTAGTTGGAACAGGTGTTCAAACTTGGATCTGTAAGGGGTTCAGGGTTCGGGAGTGTTTTCTTTTGATAATTGAAGGTGAGAGAACAAATGGAAATAAGAAGAGAGGTTATTTGGTTCTGAATAAAAGTTTCTAGCACAGAAGTTCCTTAAATACCCCTCCAAATTCACGCATTTTCACTTGAGCAAGGTTGACTGTCGCCTAGGCGAGAAAACCAGACAATAGCTTTATCCAGTTTTATAATATTCTTGCCTAAGCGAGAGGCATTCACACCTCAACGAGAATAGGTCTAGAGATATCTCTATTTTCCTGCAATTTCTTACCTTAGCGAGTTACTTTTTGCCTAAACGAGAGGATAGTTAGGGTAATATTATCCGCTCTTGCTTGAGCGAGAATGCCCCAGAATGTCTAATTCAAAAAAATCAATCTCGCTTGATCGAGAAACCCTACACCAAAATTTCTATTTTCCAAAAACATAAGTAATAAAAATGAGGGTGTTACAAATACTATTTCTATTAGATATTCTTGACTTTCATTTCACGAGAAGAGGAGAATAGAATTTTGTGCCTCTATTAGAATTTCTCTTTCTTAAGATTTTTTTTGTATGTGTGGCATTGTTGTGCCATTAAGAGAGTTTCTTACTAAGAAACGGGTGAGGATTTGCTGGATTTAGGATGAATACTCTATTTTACATTTTTAAAAAAATATTTTCTTAATAAATTTTTGACTTTCTTTATCAATAAGCACAACGAGCTCAATGTATTTTTTATGCAATAATAATCACTTGTCTGTGTTATAAGAGTTTTAAAGACTTATATTGATACAAAATAATGAAAATAAAACTTAAAAAAATTCTCACCTTTAATGACAATATACAAGATATACATGACTTGCAACTTTAATACAATAAAGAACAATATAGAGGAAAAGATTTTGAAAATTAGATCATACAAATAAATATTAGACTATAGCAAAGAAATAAATTTAATAAAAAATAGACTGTAGTTTCTTTTCTAATATTACTTTAAGAAAAAAATTAAATAAATTAAATTGTAATGTATTCTAATTTTTTGAATAAAGATTATATAATTTTTAAATAGAAGAGAGAATAATATAATATAAGTATCTTTTGAGGAAAAAAATGAAATTTAATCTTAAATTAAGATATATTATACTAAACTACTTGACACATGTACCATTATATTTTATGCTTGTAGATTAATTAAGTATTTGAATACTTTATTTTAGTAAAATAAGTTGTAGTTAAAAGTTTAATTTGATTAATTGATATAATTTTGTCTTTCTATAAGAGTGAGACTCACTAATATTAAGTCTCAAATTTATATATTTATATCATTTATTAATTTTTTATAAAATATAAAACTAACTAATTTAACTATTAATTTAAAAGTTTTTACAAAATATATCAATTTTGCAAAAATTTAAAAAAAATATAAGATTATGGCTAACATGAATTAATAAAGTAAGTAGTGCAGGATTGAGTGAGCTTTTTTAAACCATTAGATATAGTTTTAAAAATATAAACAGTTTAAATTTTTGACCTATAACTTAATAATACTGATTTTTATATATTCATCATTTAATCCTCCATAAAAATTTGTAAAATTGCTTTTGGACCTTCAAAATATATTATTTTATATCTTTAAAACCTATTATTTTATATCTTCAAAACTTGTTATCTTTTCTAAGCTACATCACTTGTATGTATCTTATATTTAGGTGGTGATTTTAAGAAGATATGCATTCACATGGACTAATACTATTTTAACTTATAATCAAAAATAACTTTTGAATTAATAGAATATTGAATGTCATTTTAAATCTTTAAAGTTAATAATTTTTAGAATTACAACTTTTACATCTACTCTCACTCACATTTATAGTTTCAATTCATCATAAAAATAAGCTTTCTTATATATATATATATATTGTTTAATATTCTTTTATGTCTTCCCTATGCCCTTCCTACACAATAGTCACTTCTGCAACGCCCAATTTTTGTAATTTTGCTAGCTTAAGAAAAAATTAAAGGAGAAAAATAGTTTACTAGAATTATTTTGCTTAAGCCACACAAGATATTATAATATTCATTTAAGTGAATAATTTTTGGCTTAAGCTAAATTATATTGATTTAAGCAAAAATATGACAAAATTTTAAGGTTCATCACTGTCTATAATTTGCTTAAACTAATTTATATTGATTTAAGCGAATTTTGACAAAATTTGTTAAGCAAAAATTATAACAAATAAATTTTCTACGCTTTTTTATCGTTCAATCACATCTCTTTATTTATTACTCTTATTCTGTTTACACAAAAATGTTAATTTCTAAGATAATTAAAATGAGAATATGATATTTTTAAATTTAATTAGTTTCACTTACAAATATTGTAGTTCAAAGTATGACAATACAAAGAGAGTATGGTTATTTAGGTTTAAAAATTAAGGTAGATTTAAGAAACAAGTTTACATACTATAATGGAGAGAGAAATAATGAGAAATTGAAGTAGGACAAGTAGAAATTGAACAAAGCTTCTATGAAAATACTTCAAGTGAGAATTACCTAATTTCATTTGATTTCTTTCTTTAGATATTTTTTTCAGACTTTTATCACTTAAATTAGCTGCCTTTAAAAAGTTATTTTAAAAGACCTATTTTAAAAATCTAAGAGATTAAAATCCTAAATTTATAAAATTTATTAAAGATTAAACTATAAATAATATAACTTTTAAATTTACTACAACAAATTATTTTACTTGGTTATTCATGAGTTATATATTGCATTAATTCACCGTAGTCTTCAACAAAAAAATTGTTAATAATACATTATTTTATTTTAATAAAATAATATTTTTAAAATATAATTGAATATTAAATTTTAAATAATATACAAATAACTTAATTAATTAGAAGAATTTTTTATTTAATATTTTATATAAAATATTTGCCCTGAAAATCATTGAAGCAAATTATATATTTTTCTTTTTAAAGTTCAAGTTACCACCTTCTTTTTATTATATTAACACAGTGTGATTACACATTATGTTACTTATATTAAATATAAATACAAAACAAATAATCAATCAATGCTCTCAAAATTAAATGAGATAAGATACATAATAAATTAATAATTTATCACTTTATTCTTAAATGAAATGAAACTATCTTACATAAATATTTTTGTATAAAAAAACTATCTTACATAAATATACATTTTAGTTTTTTCAAAATTTTTCTTACGTTAATATCTCATTTATTTTTTATTATTTTAATATTCATTTAAATTTTATATTTAATATTTTATAATTTAATTTTAATATTAAATTTTTTCTTTTTAGTTTAAAATTATTTAATATTAAAATTTTAAAATAATTCTATAGTATATTATTTTAATTTAATAATAATTATACGAAGAAGTTATCAGTTATTATAATGTGCAAAATTCATGTAAGATTAAACGAATTCTCTCTCTACAATCTTTTGCTGCTGAAATTAACTAGTGATACATTTATTTTGAATTTCAAGTTATTTAGATGACTTTTTTTTTTACTTAAATAGTATTTTTTTAAAAATAATTTTTTAAAATAAAAGTTTTCTAAAACTAATTTTTTGTCTGATATTTTTTTTTATCAACTCAGCAACAATATTATCTATGCATAGAAGATACTAAATTTTTATTATTATTTTAATAGACTACTATTTTAATATCTCATACCATAAAAAACATTGACACGTGTCAAAATTACATATATATCAAAAATGAAACGATAACAAATTATTATTATTATTTTAATATTTATTGTCAAAAAATATCCGATACATATTTTTTTTATATTTTAATATTATTATTGTAAAATAACTAATACTTATTTTTTATTATTATTTTAAAAATTTATCATTTCAAATCATTCTATACTTATATTTTCTATTTTAACAAGATAACCATGAACATAGTTAATGAGATGTCCATGGTGTTGACGAGTAGCCGCATCTGGTGTCCATACATGAGTGATACTATTGCTGAGTTGAAAAAAAACACTAGATAAGAAATTAATTTTAAAAAAATTTATTTTAAGAAATTATTTTAAAAAAATATTATTTAAGTAAAAAAGCCTATTTAGTTTGCAATTAATTTTAAGACCAGATTGTGTGCAACAATGGGGTCATTATCACCCACCAATGACAACAATTAGAATAAACACTAAAACCCATTCAATACATTATTTTTCATCTTTTTAAATATACATCAACTACTACTACAATTCCCTCCGGGGCCCCCAAATTGAAAGGTGTATCGAAAGTCCTCATCAAAAATTCCAAAATATTGAATGTCATAGCAATGTTGGTTATCAAAAGATTTGTATAGAAGATGCTCTTGTGGTTCTTCAAATGATCCATTTTCATTGTATGAGAGTCGTCTAACAAAGCATGCATGCGTCATATCACCATCTGGAAAGTATCCAGATCCCATTTGTGGACTTGTGCCATTCACATCGCCATAAGCTCTACCACCCCACCCAACTAGATTAGCCTCAGACATGTTAGAGAACAATGCTGCTGGAAAATATCCAACATTTATGTCTTTAACTGTTAACCACCAGTTTTTAGTATCTGGGTCCTGTAATTGGAGCACAGGAATTGCGCAAATCATGTATCATAGTAATATGTAATTATTGTAGGAATTAATAGTTGGTTGCATATTTTTATATTAATGTAGCAATCTTAAACACAAGAGACAATTTATATTTTTCTACGAATATAAAGATTTCTACCTGTTTAATGGACATTGAAAGATCATATTGAGGTCCACCATAAGATGATACAGGTAACACACGATTTCCTAAAAAGATCTTATTATCAGTTTGTACAAAACCTGGACAAAGCATGTTGTAACACCCTGTTGTCTTGAATGAATCTGACTGCAATTTTCAAACACTTACTATTAGTCTTAAAAGTACTACATTTTCAATTAACATTAGTGGTAATTATTAGAATTATATAATAAAAAATTTAAAACAAAATCATAAAAGTTTTCTTTTCCCTTTTACCGTCCATAGTCCAAAGAGATTTGTAGTTTCTTGACCATACAATTCTGGGTATACCTATGCAATTTTAAAGGATTTAAATATTAGAAACATATTTAGAAATGAAATAATTGATTCTGCAGCGAAATTGCTAAAAAATAATAAAATTACTAAAAAAATTCATGATTGTAAAAACAAAATTTTAGTTAGGTATGAATCAGTATTTAATATTATTAAAAAGAATACATTATTTTATTATATTTGTGTGGAGTTAATGTGAAATAAATAATTTATTAAAGTTACTAAAATAAAATTAATAAAAGAAAAGAAAAGTGTTAGCAACATATATATTATCTAACATAGTTTTTATTATTGATTAAAATTTAATAAATTATTAATAAAGTTCATTAAATTAGAAATAATATTTATATAATTTTATAGTTTTTAATAAATTTTAACTAATAATAAAAAGTATGTCAAAAAATTATTAAAAAATGTATCACTGATATTTTTTAAAAAAAGAATTAAGAAATACCTGCCACCCAAGAAGTATTGTGTTAAGTGCATCGTTTTCACCTCTTTGAACCGCTATTTGAGCAAGGCTCATTTGGAACTTGTTTACTCTTGGGTTTTGAACATTAACACTTCCATTAACTCCAAAATAAGAAAAATTTCCCCCTGGCTTTGTGTGAAGTGCTACAAACTATAAAAACACAAAAATTACAAGTAGTCATCCATAAAATTTAAAGCAAAGGAATTTTCCATACTGTGAAATGTGAGTATATACTTAAATGGAGATTGCATATTTGAATAGCATGCCAAAATGAATTAAGGTGAGGTAAATAAGGGAACTTACATGACTATAAGGGGCACTATTAATTAAGGAGAGACGAGTTAAATTAGACAATGATTTCATTCGAATAAGGTCATCTTTTGTTGTTCTCCGAATTGGAACGGATCCTGTTGGACATGAATCATTCTCAAGCTCAAACTCTATGGTTGTAGTTGGTAAAGCATGTTTGTTTGTTGTTTCCCTTCTGTTTAGAAAAGTAGGCTTTCTCTGCATGAACATACATACAAAATATAGTTTAGAGCATAAGAATTGATCACCTTAAAAATGTAACTTCTTCATAGTGGATCGGAGTACCTGAAGCTTATGATCCTTCAGCAAAGGATGGTTAAAAGCAGGCTGCTTATTGATATCAACACAATCAATAATACTCCCAAACTTTGTCTATGGATGTCACAAAAACCTTACATTTCAATGAAATTACAATAAAAAATAAAATAATATATTTAAACAACAATAGGGAGAATATTAATACTTGGATACTTGATTCAGGTAATGTAGCATCATCAACTCCATTACAACTGGTTACTAAGAACAAGCATAACATTAACAGAATGGACATTTTCACAATTTTTAAGCTGGTTTGAAGAAAAGGGGATTTTATTCAATTACCTTTATACCAGAGCCTACCTAAACATCATTTATTAAAATACAATATATCATTAATGATGAATTTACTACCATGAATATTTTTAGTGAAGTACGGCATTTTATAGACCGTGTCATATTCATTCATTTAAGGAGGCGCAAGGAATTTTGTTTTGTGTGGTAGAAAACAACAATTGAATTTATTTAAGAATAGGTTACTGACCCTCAAAATCGAGGTAAACCACTTGAACCAACTGGTTTGGATTATAGTTGATCTTCAATTGAAGATTGAAACACAGGAATCTACACCCGTTAGTCACACTACTAACCGCGGCACCACCACTTCTATCTTTGTTAATAAATAGTTAATAATAATAAAATTTTATTTAAAAAATATTTATGTTACGATTGATTTAACTTTATTAATATAATTTATGAAATTTATGTTTATTAATAAATTTAGCAATTGTCATTATTGTTTTTATTTTATTAGACATTTAATATATTTATATTAATTAATCTAATTTATTATTTGATGTAATATATAATATTAAAAATATGTGTTTAATTATTACTAATTTGATAACAATTCAATGAAGCAATAAAATATACACTAAAATTTATCTTAATTTTCTGAATAAAAAATAAATACGTCTTAACATCTTATACTTTCAACTTTTCCCACTCTTTCTAAATGTTAGAAAGGTTTTTAGGGGAGTAACTGTGTGATTTTGCCCCTTGCTCTCGCTTTTCTGTACATTGCTCGAAGCCTCCTCAAACAGCCTTGAAGTCGAACTCTAGTGCTCCGTGCTCCATCTCGGACAACATCTGCTTTATCCCATGCACTGTGCAGTGGCCGACATTGTTTTCCGGCCAAAATCTTGTGCGACTCACCATTTCCGGCTAAGTTCCGGTCGGCTTCATCATCTCTGACTAAACCCTCTCCTTTTCAACGTGACCCATTCACACTAGGGGCTATTTCCCGGCCAAAATCCAGCGCTGTTCACTATTTTCAGCTAAGATCCACACGTTTTCTGTCGAGAGAGCCTTTTTTCTGGTGAGAGACCACTCTGTTTTCTGTTTCTCTTCTCTGTTCTGTTTTTCTTCTCTCACCCCTCGAAATTATGTGTAGCATAATTTAGATTAGGTGCATTTCAAATCTTCAGAATAACTGCCATCCTGCGCCGCTATATGGGATTAGCTACTATGCTTAGATAGCTAAATCATAAAATGGCAATGTTATAGAACAAGTTAAAATCATATATAAATAACCAAACCAGTCACATAGCCCTCCTCGAACAAAGATATATCATTAGGCTTGGTCAAAATCTAAATTTTCTGTTTATCATAAGATCCCTTCTAATGATTCTCATCAAGGTTCTTTTTTCTCTTCTTCCACACTCTTTTATAGTGCTAAAAACCATACAATTGATCCTGTTTGTTGGTGTCTCCAATGACCTTTACATATGCTTAAACTACCTTAACTGATTTTTTGCCATCTTCTTTTCAGTAAGTGTTCCTTTAATCTCTCTTTGTGTATAATCATTTCTTATCATGTCTTTTTCTGCGTGGTCACACATCCAATATTCTCATTTCTATTTCTTCTCTATAAAACTTCCCTTTGACTTTTTGATAGGTATTTTGTGTTGATGAATAACTCATGGTATCTTTCCATATTTTAACTCCCCAGCTTGTATTCCGTGTGTATCATTTTCATTGGTTTTTTTTTTTTTTTATCATTTGTAAAATAGATTCCGAAAACTAAACTTAAGGGCCAGCATGGATGTGTAAAAATTATCTTTTGAAATTGATCATTTTCATTGGTTTTTTTTATCATTTGTAAAATAGATTCGAAGAACCTAAACTTAAAGGCCAGCATGGATATGTAAAAATTACCCTTTGAAATGATCATTTTCATTGGTTGCATCTGTGGATGTTTTGCTTTGTTGTTCCTTGTCTGATTTTGTTTTTGTAGTTGCATTAATAAGTTACTGGGCCTTTTAGATTTTACAATGATACTCTTTTGCTTGTTGTGAGTTGTGATATTGTGGTTTGGTTTTGTTTACTGGTAATTATACTTGTTTATGTTTCTAGAGTTTGTCACGATTGTTTGGATATACATGTACTATATCATTTCAACCGAATTTTGGCTTCGTAAACTAAAATGGAAGTGCATATGATGGTTTTACACTTGATCTCTGGACTTTAGGTAAGTTCATGTGTTGATAAGTTCATTCACTAATACTTTTTCTTTGCACTTAATTATGAATCTTCCTGTGTTGAAAACTTATCGGGAATGAATCTAAATTAGGAACACAACAAACTGAATTACAGAAAAACGATTTGTAGTCTTGGCTTAAATAGTCAATCAATACACATATGCACTACAACTAAAAATAGCCCACTTAGCTAAAGTAAAGGTTAGTGATAACATAAATGAGAGAATAATAATAAATCAAATCCAAATAAATATTCCTAATGACTAGAACTTCTCGGTAAACTAAGATATTATTCAAAACAGAAACAATACAGTAAACTCCTTCATTTCCTCCCTTAAACTAAGTGCTATGAAGCAATTAGTTTATATAAAAAATGTCACACACTCCCAGTAGCTTTCGAAGCTTTTGAAAAACTTCAATCTTCAATGGCTTGGTCATTATATCTGCCACCTGATCTTGACTTCTGCAATGAATTAAATCAATTGTATCATCCTTAGTAAGATTCCTTAGGAAATGAAACCTCACATCAATATGCTTGTTGCGGTTATGCATAACAGGATTTTTAGACAACTTGATGGTTGAGTTATTATCACACATCACAATTGTACAGTATTCATAAGAATGCCCCAACTCCTTTAAGGTTCTTTTCATCCAAACTCCTTGGCAAGCACAAACAGCAACTGCTATAAATTATGCTTCTGTGGTTGATAAAGTTACAATAGGTTGTTTTTTTTAATACCATGAGACAGCACCTAAACTTATCAAAAAGACATAACCGGATGTACTCTTCTTATCTTCCATATCTCCTACATAGTCACTATCTATGAATGCTAACAGCTCACCATCTCCTGCTGTCTTATAATAAATTTCATAATTCACAATCCTTTTTAGATATGGAAGTGCTCTTTTAGCTGCCTACAGATGAATATCCATTGGTTTTGCCATATATCTGCTTATGAGACAAGTAACAAACATCATGTTAGGTCTTGTGGCGGTGAGATACATCAAGCGAAAACACGTGAGTTTGAAGGGTATTTAAAGGTTTTCATGTTAAAAAATTTCATTTTCTCACCAAAATCACGTTTCCTTCTCTTATCTCTCTGTTCTTTTTCTCTCTCCCTTCATAGAGAAAGTCTTCAATACCTACGGATCTTTGTCGGATCTGAGCTCAAACATTCATCTCACTCGGATCTAAGTAAGTTTTCAGAGCCTAACCTTCAAATCTAGTTTCTATTTTTCTGCTCTTTCTCCTCCTAAAGAAAGCCTCTAATACCTCTAGATCTCTGTTGGATCTGAGCTCAAATGTTCATCGCACTCGGATCTAAGTTTCCAAAGCCTAACTTTCGAATCTAATTCCTATTTTTCTGCTCTTTCTCCTCCTAATAGTAATCTATTTTATGACGTTCAGAAGAACTCTAGTTCTTAGGAAGTGTTTCAGGTTGAGACGTGGAGTTTCTCCCTAGAGCTCACAAAGAACCTAGTTTTTGAAATCCATTTCTAGATGAGGGGAGTATTCTCAAGCTCGTGTTCTATTTCTATACGTAGTGACCTCAAAAGAACCGAATAACTTCTTTAAGCAATAACCTATAAAATTTTCATGGAACTATATGGTAAAAAATAGATTTTTGGTATAAAGAAAGGTTTTAGGTTTGTTTGAAATCACCTAAAATTAAATTGTTAGTAAAAGTCATGAGTTAGAACGAGTTAGACAAGTTATTTGAGGTGAACAGGTATATTTGATATTATAGGTTATTATCTCTCTGAATAATATGTGTTGAATAATAAAAGTTAGAGAATGCTGAACTTTAGGCTAGACGACTTATCCAAGACCGAGAAAGTATGATCTTTGACAATATATTTTAGATTATACAATTTGGGCTGAGTCCGAGGGTGTTTGACCTTCAGCATATTGCGTTGATTTGGAAGATAATATGTTTTTTCATTTCATGATTATGTACTAAAATGAATAACTTGATTTTGTATGAGATTGATGAAAATCATTTAGCTATTTAAATAAAAAAAGTGTGTTTCATTATAAATATGTGAATTGGACTAAATCTTTCCTTAATAAAATGATGAGAAAGAGAATGTGAATATATGAAAGTTGTTGGTGAATGAAATTGACAGAATTATGTGAAAGTATTGAGGAGATGTAAGTGAAAAAGGGATAACTAATATGTGTCACAATACTGATTAGTGCGATTATGATATATGCGTTGTAATACACCAACAAATGATATTATAACACATGTTGTAGTACATTGATTAGTATGATTGTAACATATATATTAGAACAGTATGAATTGATGTGCTAGGATAGTTCAGAGATATACTGGGATGTAGGGTTTGGAGTTGATTGTAAAAATTTGAGAGAAAATGAAAGCAGTAAATGCGTTTATTGATGTGTACACAATGTAAAAGTGAGATGCATTTGCAGGCCTCACACTCGTTTCTTGATCGAACTCCTAACTATACCTTTGCCTGGAAGGCTGTAAAGGCGCACGTTGTATCCGTGTGTGGTTTAGCTAATCAACAACTATTCATACTGTGTAAGTCTTTCATAACTAGGGAATGTGTTGACAATGATTTAAGGGCTCGAGAGTACTAGAACACTGTTAATTAATGAGTTCTTAAGATTAGAAATGGACAAAGTGGCACGATATTATGGATTAGATAATAATGTTGGTTGACTGTGGAGCAATATGAATGGATAACTTTTGTTTGAATAAAATTGTATGAATAAGGGAAATGGTATAAGTTTAGTCATTGAATTTGATTGAATTAGTCAAATAAGAAGTGGAATGCATACGAGTAAATAATAAAATATGTATATAAATGATTTTGTCTGGTTAAATTTTTTGAAGTATGGAATATTATTATTTTGTTATACGTTGTATTAGAAAATATTTTTGCATTATTTTTATTACTATACAAATTAAGAATTTTAATAGGCAAGGAATGTTCACCCTTACAATCATTTTCAGGTAAAAAAGATTGATCTGTTTTAGAATCATACTTGAAAGAGATGGTAAAAAAGGAACTATTATGTGAGAATTTATTATTTTAAAGAATATAATTATATTGATTAAGTTATAATTAGAATTACAAAATATTTTAATTTACCTATCGTAAACGAGGATTCAAGAATTATATATAATAATTAATAGTCAATTGTTTAAATTTTAACTTGCACCAACTGTTAATTATAAAATTAATTTATGAAAATATTTTGTTTGTATCAAAGAGTTTAAAATATATATGCAATGTAAAATTTTAGTTTCATTATAATTATGAAATTAATTTATAAACACATGTTTTATCTATTTGTGAAAATTTTGTATAGACAAAGTGTTAATTCAATTGAATGATGGGTATCAATTATATTTACATATTTGTATAATTCCTTAAAAATATTTAAAAACTTTTAAAATCCTCTTAAAGTTTTAATTATAAGAGGCTCCCGGCCAGTAATGGTATCAGAGCCTTCAAATTATTTGATGCTCATATCTTCAGGGTTTATCGGCTGGACAGTTGACAGGCACCTACCGGAGAAATTATGTTTACAGTTGCCCCTGTCTGTAACAATGCCACGAACTCCTTTATTTATTCAGAGCCTAAAGTCTCTGTTGAAGGAGGGGATAAGTGTGATAGTCATTATAAATAAAGTAAGTAAGAGCTACCACAACACCATGAATACACCTACAAACACCTTGAACACCTCTTCTACAAACACCTTGAACACCTCTTCTACCGAAACTTCCTCTATTCTCTTAAACTCTCCTATCTCCTTACCTAAAGACTGTATCAGAACTGCTTCTGATAAAATAGAAAATTTGATAGAATACACCTATGTTCCTGAAGATGCTCAGATTCAGGAATCCATAGCTCCTCTTTTAAGCCCTTACAATGTTTTCAGGAGACATAAATCCTGGACCAACAAAGTTAATGCTTTGATCCTCAAAAAACAATCTCCCATAAAAGAATATGTCCAATCCACCAGAATGGACCAGTGTGAAATTCCTGCTACAAAGGAAGAGAGATACATCAATCTAGAAATCCCTAAAACTTTCATAGACCATTGGAAGGTTGAGGGATACACTGCCCTTCATTTTGGAGCAATAAGATTAGTTCTATCTCTTCATGGTAGGAAAAATCTTCCAGTGACTGCTAGAATCACTCTTCTTGATTCTACTTATATTCACTATGAACATGTTGTCATAGCAACTCTATTGACTACTCTTCATGCTGGAAGTGCGGTCCTCACGATCTTTCCAAATTATAATGTCTAATTAAGGGACAAGACTCTGCCAGCTAGATTGAAAGTTCAGATCCAGCTCACTGGAGCAGAGCAAATTGAAGAAGCCATCTCTGCTACACTTCATCACCAGATGATTTACAGATTACAAAATCATGCTCATGACCTTCCTCTACTAGGAATGGTAAATGATAATCTGTTTGTCATAGCTAACAGAAGTGAAGATGATGTTCCATCCATTATCCAAGTACCCAGACAAATTCCTCGAGAAGAACTTCTCAAACTGATTCCACTTGAATGGACAACTAATTATGAAAAGATCAGGCAAAACAACAAACCAATTCAGTCTTTTGAAGCTACTTTCAGAAGATCTGTTAATGGTGGTGTCAAAACCATTTTTAAGAAGCCTGATGATGAAACCAGTTCTTTTACTAATTGCTTCCAGTCACTTATGGTGATACCTGTCGGAAAAGAACATAGAATCCCAGTATACAGCTTTAAACCTGATGGATCCTCCATCTATTCTGACAAATTTGATGGACACTTCATGTGGGATGTTGATTCTTCTATGTGTGATCCTGACTGTGACTGCTGGATGCATACTGGTGATACATCTGATGAAGAATCAGATGATGATGATGAAGATAACCAGAAAAGAAGAAAAAAGAAACCTTGCAAACCACCTCCTAAGCCTAGGAGAAGAGATCCTGGATTCACTCCATGGGTAGGAATAAGGAATGAAAGAAAACCATTACCCATCTATGATGAAGCT